CTAACGCAACAATTAACATTGATTAGTTAGTTTATAAATTAATTTGTAGTAGTCTTATTCAAAAAAAAAAAAAGAAAAAATAATTGTAGTATAGTCTATATATGTAGTCAAAGTTTGAGCAGCAAGCAAGAAGACGCAAAGAAGCGCAGTCCCGGCAGGTTAAACCAGCAGCAGCATTGCATGTTAAGTTATTACACCAAACAACAACAACAACAGCTTCATTTAGCGTATTCATGAAAATAATAAATATTAATCAATCAATATTAATTGTATGACCACGGCCACTCTACATGCATATTGTACTCACTCCTCTTCTCACCATATCATCATCTCTAATTCAATCTCTCTCTCTCTCTCTCTCGGACACGTAACTCCTCAACTCTTTCCTCCTAGTTTCCTAATTATTCCTATATCATTGATTCCATATTTCCATTTACTTACTCATTCTTTCAATTATATATATATTCATCATTTCTGTCCTGTATTGTGTACCTTTGTACCTACCTATCCCTGATTCCTTTCTTCTTCTTCTTCTTCTTCTTTTTTTTTTTCCAAAAAAAGAAAGGCCCTTGCTTTTTTGTCCTTTCTCCAAGTATGAAAAGGTGGTAGAATATGTGCTTGCTCTTAATTATGGGAAAATCATTTTTTTATTACTCCCAATCTTTTCTTCCTCTTCTTCTTCTTCTTCTTTTTTTTTTTTATAATAAATAATATATAGTTACATTACAGACAGCCCATTGTTTGACTGCCATGTCCCCTAACCAGATTAAGCATGCATCTCCACATATGGATCCAATCCAAATTCCAATCTTATAATTCTATTTTTTACATTCAATCACATATCATTGTTCAGAAACGGACAAAATAACAAACAGCAGACATGGGATGATGATATTGGTAAACATATATATACTATCATTGTCATATTATCATAGTTTTGAATTAACTAAACCAAAGTAAGTGGGTGTCCTAATTATAGAGCATGTATGTATGATTGTTCATTGAACATAACCATGATCTTGTCGACTATTGTACAAAACCGTATAGTAGATATGAAACAAGCCCCCCTGGGCAATTTTTATACAGACAAACAAAAGTGATTCTTTAGATTGAAAGAGAGGCTTATTAATTTAAATTAGTGGAGAGATGGGGGCAGATTAGTTTATTTAAATAGAGATCTTAATTAATCAATCAGGTCGGGACTAATTAAACAACATTGTTTTGGAGGGATGTTGCTACTAATTAAGTCCACATGCTGAGGATTAGATAGGAACCCAAATACCCCCCATAATCCATATGATTACTAATTTTATTATGTGTATGCGTGGTACTGTATAGTTTTAGATTAAAAATATTGGGTAGATTAGACGCAATTATTATTACGTTTAGGTGGTGTGTGTGATGCGAATGATGAGAATGTAATCTAATTAACGTGTATGCACTCCAAAAATAAAAGGGCGCCCGACCTTTTAGTCCCTGTAGTATTTTCCAGTTTAATTTTTGTTCTTAATGTTTTTCGCACAAAGAAATTAGTCTTGAAACTTTTTTTTTTTTTTTTTGATTAACCAAGTTTATCCCCGACAAAAGAAGAGGGGAGTTGGTTTTGTATTGTAATAATGTAGCGCGCTGCCTTCCAGTTTTAATCTTCTTCTCATTCACCTACCTATATATATGTACTACTATATTTTTTGGCGGTGCATGTCCCCACCTTTCCGGGCCACGTATGAATTTTGCATTGTGCTCCTGATGATGAATTGATCATCAAGGTGTACGTAGTCATAAAATTCATAGTGGAAAAAAAGAAAATGCAGAATTAAGTATACAACCAAAGCAATGTGTTGTGATTAAAATGCTTTAGGTATACATAATGATGGTTATTAAATTAAACAATTATAGGGAAATCGGAAGAAAGCAAATTCAGATGATGTTTTGGTGGGGAATTTTAGTGCTAGTATTTTGATAAGCTGAAACGTGAGATGATGATTGGACGAGTAAAGGTGGAAATTTCATCCAATCCAAATCCCAAGATACTTGTAATAAAGACATTCGGTGTACGAGGAGAAGAGGCAGTACAAACAATTTTGAAGAGATTTCCCCAAGAAGAATAATAATATTGTTATTGCTACCTTTACCTATTTTGTTATTTCCCTCACGTAGGAGTTAGTAATGTCAATGTTGGGCGCTAATTAATTCCAAAATTCATAATCATCATCAATCATCTTATTATATGTATGATCATATTACATATATATTGACTCAACCGCTTACATTTGGTATGGATCCGAGGGGAAAAATAAATAAATAATGAAATATTGTACGGCCGGGGGAGGGGGGGATTGTGTTGTCGGGGGAGAGATCGAGTGAACTTGGACGGGATCGGAAGACACTCCGTCGGTGGATCTCTCAATGTCTCTATTTCCAGCTGTATACTTAAGTTGAGCTGCCGTACACCATCCTCCTCTAAAACTGCCCTTCGTGCCCTACTTATTTCGAAGCAAGAACTTAAGAATCACATCAGAATAATCATTATATATGGATTTCGTTAGTTCCGTTTTTTAATTTAAATTTATCTTTGTTAACTATGTACTCAATCGAAATCACCACCCACAGTAATATGGGTACAATTCCATTAATTTCTACTTTGCAAATAATTTCGTGATCGTGCCCACCTACTTAATTCTTCCCCCGGTCTTTATTATAAAGGCATTTTGATTTGTCCTACATTTTCACTTAAGATGTCTTTTTAATTGAAATAAAAATCTTAAAAATATTTTTTTAATAATTAGGAGAATAAGACAGATGTAAAAATATATTTTTAAGTTTTTTTTTATAATTAAAATAGGTGAAACTTAAGACAAAATCAAAATATCTTATAATAAGGACCAGAGAGAATAAAAGATACCGATATATTAGTAATTGATACCTTTTACTGTCATTATGTTAAATCGAATAACAATTATCAGTATGTGTATCTATAGGACTATAAAAAAAAATTATAAATGATGTTCTTTCCGTCTTAAAATAATTGTTGAGTTTGAGAGATCAAAAGAAAATGAAAGGCGAGGTGAAAATCCCATCGCATTATTTACACACACACGTATCATCTAGGGCGGGGTTGGATTTGGAAGTACGTACGTTAACGTTGATATCTCTTATGGTAGGGTTTGTGTATATAAATGAGAAGATATTTTGTTTGGAGTTTGGAAGATTTCATCCACGCAAAAATGGAGTGTACATATCTATGTATATTATACTATAATAGTAACTAATTAATTTGTGGCCAATACATTTATTGTTTCCGTGACTGCGTACCTTATATATTTCTCTTTATTGTTAATTATTTACAACCCCCGGTGTGTACTTGTGAGTATACGTGGAGGAATTGATCAAGTTTTATGACATATCTCCCGCCGCTTCGTACTTACTACTACATTATTATTCATTAACTTAGGCTTCAAATCACACCAGCTTTTCATACGATAATGCATATATTGTCGGTCCATGACGATATAAATAGACTGCGATTTTCTGAAATTTTAATTTTGGTGATTTATGCAATGTGTTATTTCTTGTGTTCGTACAGCGTATACATTTGTTGTACTGAATTTCATACACTGTCGCTGCTAAAAATTATGGATTTTCATTTTTAGTATAATTTATATGAAAATTCAAACTGGACAATCATTTCATGATGGAGAGAATACTAGATGACAATATTTATTTTTCAAAAAGAAAAAAAGAAAGAAAGAAAGAAAGAGAAAAAACTAAAGCATTTGAAAAAGGATAAACAAATAGTTTATGATGAATCAGAATAAAAGAAAAGGGAGGGAAACCTACTTAAACTTAAAGTGGAGCATTACTAAAGAAATTGACACTAACGAACCCCCCGATTCAATTTTAAAATTGGTTTGGTCCATTATGCGACTTGAAGCTAACGCCATCTTTCCCTCTTTCAAATTTAAACACGGTCTCCCTCCTACCCAAATTTTAAATTGTCAGTATCACTCAAAAAAGAAAGTGGACACATATCATGGATCAACCACCTGCAGAGTAAAGAAAGCATGCATTGAGGAAAAGCACTATTCAATTCGTAGTGGTACTAACTAAACAAAGAAGAGTAAAGTGAAACAAGTACTCGATTGCAATTTCTTCACTTTGGTACCACATTTACATGTATTTACTTATATTATATATATACATAAGTAGCTTCATTCTATACGTATAGTAGTTCCCGTTTCATTTTAATTTTTTTCCTTCTTCTTTTCTCTTTATTATATTTCTTCATACTACTTTATTATATTTGCAGTGATTCGTCATCGGTGACCATGGCCGGTGGTTGTAGTATCAATGAACAAATGAAGTTAGGGCTATAATCAGAAATATGATGACAAAAATGAGTCGTATCTTGATTGAGTTGCCTGAAATAAAAATGTTGTATATTTTTAAAGTAAATTATTTTTGTGAGACTGAAGGAGTAGTATGTATATTCCGACTGGAGAATAATGTAAGAGAATGAATACGTGATATGCACTATTTAAAAAATAGTGAAAGAAACGTATGAATCTTGGGATGGAATACAGAGTTAGGGAGAGCAGAGAAATGGTGTTGTTTTCAACTTATTAATCACTAGCAAAATGGAGTGGTAATGATTGGTAAGTCAAAAGAATAGGCCGCCAAAAAATATTTGGCCCTTAAAACCCTTTCAAACCAAATGCGATTCTATTGAGCAAAAGTAGGTGTACAAGTGTTTTGTGTGCTTTTTCTCTTTTTTCTGTTTTAGTTTAATTAATCTCATCGCAAATCACTTTTTTTTTTTTCCTAGATTAGAAAAAAACAAGTAAAAAGAGAGAGAGTCCAAAATGTGACAGGAAATATTATTATTATTATTATTATAACATGTGGACCGACCGAGACCAGTCATCCATGTTTTTATTTTCTTTTCCTTGTAAATAAAAATAATAAAGAATATATAAGAATTCAGAGAGCAGGAGTGGCAGCACCCACCAGCAACGCCGCAACCACACAGCACTCATATATAGGATTCCTGGAGCTGCATTCTATAATTACTGCAAACAATTTAAAACTAAAACATTTCATTTTCAAACCACAAAAACAACAACAACTTCTTCCAGCCGCAGTCAAACGTTAAAAAAAAACATGAGAAATATAGTGAGAGTAAATGATACTATAATATATTATTATTATTATATGACGATCATTAAAAACCAGACCCCCCACGTACGCATTTTTAATTTCCCTCCTCCCCCCACCACCCTCCTTATATTTAGATATATATATATATATATATAAATATATCCATTTCCTCCGCCGATTCTCTCATCCTCCATTTCTTCCCCTCTTCTTCCTTTCCATTCTCCATTCTCCACTCTTCTCTTTCCGACTATTTGCTTTCCATTTCCTTTCTGCGCATTTCATTCTTTCTCATCTTCAATTAATTCCCTCCCATTCCTGAAAATAAATAAACTAAACCAAAATGGCGGCTGCTTCTATGCTTGGACTTAATGACAGTACCGGTGATGACAAGCTCGCCTTCGAGATTTTCTCCATCCTCGAAAACAAGTTCCTCTTTGGCCCAAACCCTTCTTCCCCCTCCACTCCCGGCGGCGGTAACGGCAAGGTCCGAATTCTCTCCATTGATGCTGGTGGCTCCACCCACGGCCTTCTCGCCGCTAAGTCTCTCGCCCACTTGGAAGCCACCCTTATACGCCATACCGGCAATTTACACGCTCGTCTTGCCGATTTCTTCGACGTCGTCGCCGGAGCCGGTGCCGGCGGCGTCCTCGCCGGGATGCTCTTCACCCGGGCCAGAGACGGCCGCCCACTGTTCTCTGCAGAGGAAGCTCTGGAATTCATGCTCAACAACTCCCGAAAACTCTCGGGGACATGCTCCACCGGCGGCCTTGTCCGACGTGTTTTCCGGTCTTCAAACGGCAGCGCCGACGGGTTGTTGGAGAAGTTGTTCGGGGACTTGACTTTGAAGGACACGCTGAAGGCGGTTCTGATCCCCTGCTACGACTTGGGCACCGGGGCCCCGTTCCTGTTTTCGCGGGCCGACGCCCTGGAAATGGACGGCTGCGATTTCAGGATGGCCGACGTGTGTAGGGCCACCATCGCAAACAGCAAGGCCCTCGAGATGCGGTCAAACGACGGCCGGAAGAAGATCTCTGCCGTCGGCGGCGGGGTCGCCATGAGCAACCCCACCGCCGCGGCCATCACCCACGTGCTCAACAACAAGCTGGAGTTCCCCTTGTGCAGAGGAGTGGAAGACGTGGTGGTGGTGTCTTTAGGCAACGGCGAAATGGACTGCGCGGCCGCCAGCGGGAACTACAAGTCGTCGCCGGCAGCTTACTTGAGCATCGCCGGAGACGGGGCCTCCGACATGGTGGACCAGGCGGTGTCGATGGCATTTGGGGAATCAAGGTGCAGCAACTACGTGAGGATCCAGGGCAACAACGGAATCAGTAGTACTAGTGTGAATAATAATAATAAAAACAAGAAGAAGAAGAAGAATTTGGAGAGTGTGGCGGACCAAATGCTGGGGCAGAAGAATGTGGAATCAGTGCTGTTTAAAGGGAAGAAATTGGGAGAAAGAAGCAATGTGGAGAAGTTGAATGAGATTGGGAAGGAGCTGATCAAGGAGCAACAATGGAGAAACAGCAGTGGATGTGTGTTGCCTCCAGTCATCTTGAAACATTCCTCAACAACTTCTCTGGATTCCCCTCCTCGTTCCTCTTCTGCCACTACCTTATCCACCGTTTCCTCGGCCTAACACAACTTTGGGATGAAAGATACAACAAACTCTGTGATGTATTTAGACATCCGAGTTTTTGGTTGAGGATTTTGTGTTTTTTTTTTTTTTTTGAGGGGGGGGGGGGTAGTGTAAGTATATTTGTAGTTGCTCCTAGTAGTACTACTCACTGCCGTAGCAGTACAGTAATACAATACATATTCATCATCATTCATCGTCTTCTTGTGGAGATGATAAATGATCTTCTTGTTCCAACATGTATGTTTGTAGATACGGCAGCAGCATCACCAAATGCCTTTTTTTTTTTTTTTGCAACTCTGGTAAATGGTAATTAGAACTTGCCAATACGGTTCATAACTCCCCCAGCATTAACTCAGTGATGTGTCTTTTAGGCATTCCAGTCTTGGAGAGGATTTTGTAGCGTTCTGTTTTTGTAATTCCCGAAAACACTATTGCTCAGTTTGAGTTTTCATTCTTAAGTAGAAACTGGACAATAATTTCGGGGGACATAGGAAGTACTATATATTCATCATCTTCTGGCTCCAACATATATATGCTGCTAACCATATCTGTAGATACAGCAGCAGCAGCAGCAGAAGCATCACTGCATTTTTTTGGGAGGGCGAATTAATTCCACTTGAGAACCTGCTTCTTATTTTACTCTTTACCATCAATTTTCCCAGCTCAAGTCACTACTTCTATTTCTATTTATGCATTCCACCTCCATTTTGACCAAGAAAGAAACTCCAATACAAGGATCATAAGCTAACCATTGTCTTTTAGTAATTAAATTATTATTATTTTTAAATTAATGTTCACTTCATCCCCCCCTTTTTTTACCACATTTTCTTTCGCAGCTCACATTTTCTGATTCAAAACTGATAATAAATTAAACTAACCAGATTCTTAATCCAAATTTGACCTTTCATGCTTACTTACTAGGATACATATTTTGACACAACCCTTGTCGGAATGACGATGTCGATATGAAAATCGACCTGGAAACCGAGAGTTGGGAAGGAAACGAAGGTCTTGTTTCTTCTTCTATAGGCCCATCCAAGACGCCACCTTTACGGCTCGAAACCTCTGATCAACTCCTTGTTGGTGAGGAATGACAGATAACATCATATCTCATCTATAAAAAAGTTAAAAACTCATATTGTTGTATGTACTCTCTTAATTGATATTTGATGTTTGAAGCTGTAACTTCTAGTTGTTTATCATGTGAAGGCTAACTGTAGATAATGTAAAATGAAATTGGACCAAATGCTGGCACAGAAGAATGTGGAATCAGTACTGTTTAAAGAGAAGAAATTGGGAGAAAGAAGCAATGTGGACAAGTTGCATGAGATTGGGAAGGAGCTGATAAAGGAGCAAATAGAGAAACACACACCCCCAACCCCCGTCATCTTGAAACACTCGTCGGCCTAACAATGGTAAGTAGTATACTTTGTTGTTGCTCCTAGTTACTACTGCTCTATAGCAGTAACATATATATAGCAGTAATATATATATATATATATATGTATATATATATCTTCATCATCATTCATTCTGGAGATGATAAATGATCTTGCTCCCACATGTATGTATGTAGATATGGCAGCATCACCATATGCCATTTTTTGGGTTTTTATTTAATGATTATTATTCTTTTCACAAATGCTGAAAAAATTAGACTTCCCATACCTATTCATACCACCAAAATCCCCATCAACATAACCTATATAAGCTAACTACACAACCTTGGCCCTAGAATCAAACTGCCGGTGTTTTATAACTACACCCAACCGGAAAACCACACTCCAGGTTCTATTATCGCTTTTGAGTATCATACCAGATCAAGAATGGTCTCACCTCCAAATCAAAATCTCAATACATCCAAGAAAGATGAAAAACAGATTCTACATTTTCAGGTTAAGACTTATGCACCTAGAAGAAACAATACAAAGATCTGCCTTTCCATTATTATTTGGCTCCAAGCTCAGTTCAAAGTGTCTTTCTCAAAATCAAATAACAGAATCAATAACGGTCTATTAAGCCTTTATCCCACTACTTTGGTGCCAGCTACATGGATCAAATGTTGTCTTCTTCCAATAAGAAAAATAAAAATAGAGCAAATGCAACCCAAAAAAAAAAAAAAAGGGAAAAACCTCTCCAACATTGAAAACCAAACACAGTCAAAGGATCACTGCTGCAGCACTCATTTTCTGAAACTCTTTCCTAGCCTATCACATTCTTTTCTGAATGAAAAATTAACTGCCACCAACATAAAAACCCAAAAAAAGAAAATACACAAAAATTAACTTGTGAGATAATTTGGGCGGGATTGTGGAGACAAAATTAAGCAGCATTTGGAGCAGCCGAGTCCTCAGTCAAGGGGGTACTTAGGCTACCAGATGTGTGCGTTGCTGGTTTACTTATTGATCCATCTTTCTCAGCGCCGACTACCACGGCATCATTGGCCTATTTTGGAAGAAGTTAAAACCTTGGTAAGCGAATCCATCAACAAAGAAAGCACATCATACCAAAAATACATTATTGGTTTTTTGTTTTTTTTGATAACAAACATGAAATTGGCACTTGGCGACTTTCTGCCTGCAATTAAAAATATCAAGGCACTCCCCAATTCAACTTACCTGCTTATTAAACTGTTGCTGCTTTGCTTTTTTCTCTTGCATTGCCTTTTCACGCCCTTCATAAAACTCAAAGTCATCCAAAATGCACGTCCTGCTAGAATGACCTTTAATTATCTTAACAATTTCATTACCCTGCTCTAACCTAACCTGCAAGAACAAGGATAAATGGAGACATGTTAGAAAAAACTAAAAAGCAGCATTCTTTCTTTTTGTGCATGTGCACAAGCAGTTCTGAACAAGCAGAAGATTACGTCGAACCTCTTGGGTGTCTCGGCTGTTTGTGACAGGTTTATTCTCGTTGTTTTCCAGTATAATGTGGCGCAACATGCTATTAGGTACATCTTTGATAAAATGCCACTTTACAGGGAAGCAACCGGTCCACTTGTCCTGCTGCCAATGTTCCAGGCTTTTGTCAAAATCAACTGGACCCGTCATTTCAGCGAGACCAACAAATTGGCCACTCGCGTTAACCTGAGAGAAGAATTGCAAAGGAGAGCTAATCACACCAATTCATAACAAAAAGGTTTCAGAAAACATATTCTGGGGAGCAAGAAAAAGGAGTAAACAAACATTGTAAGTACTCACAGAGAATAGAAGGAAAACAGGGCATCCACCACATTTCTCCTGGGCTTGGGCTTCCTTGAATGCCGCATCGAGTTTTTTGTTTCCATTCGGAGTGCTGGTCCACACACGATATTTAATGCTTTTATGGACATCATCCTCGCTGTATGATTTTATTACAAAGAACTTAGCACCAGTGTGTGATTCCGGGAAATCATCTCGGTTGTACTGTTCCCTATCTGTACAACAAACAGTTTGATCATCCTCTGTACTCTTCTCGTTCACAGAAGTGGATGATTCAGAATCCTTTTGCTCCTTGAAGCCTCTTGCTCGAGGACCCTTATTTACCTCGTTTAAGCCATTCACACTTTCATTACCAGAGAGAACAAAGTTACTGCCACGAACCTTGGACCTATACTTATTGTCGACAGTCAACCACCCACGGCTATTGGAATAATATCCAGCACCACGTCTGAATGTATTCGGATATTGACCGTACATCCTACTACTACTTGGATACATTCGATTCATGAATCCTGCTCGGTCCATTCCAGATCCTGTCGCTGATTGTTGCATACCCTGTAATCCAGTTCCAAATAATTTCGAACCATTAGTGTTAGGGGTAAAAACAAGAAAATAAAAAAGAACACGTTTCTGAATAGACAAAGAAGCTGACACCCTGCAAGTGAGTGAAGTTCACGAGGGTTAGTTAAATACATTTTCAAAAAATTCCCTAAATTTTGGTTACTCTTAAATCTCTGCAAACAAGAAACTAACCATAAGGTGCGGAAGAGGACGAAGACTCTGATTTGTCATTGGAGAATAATTATGCCCGTACGAAAAAGTTGATGTGTTCACTGAACTCACTGCACCGACAAACATGAAGTAAGAAACTGAAACAAGCCTACGAGTAAAGACAGCCCTCAATGTGAAGCTTAGAAGAAGATACCTGAGGGAAAGCCTCCCCATCCGTAAAAATCATTTGATTTCACATTCCGATTGTTGTGATAACTCGATTTTGATGATTTTGACAAGTCATTGCTTGAGTGGCTGACAACATTTGCCGCAAAACCCTGATTACCTTTAGAACTTGCTCCTCCTGCTGATAATTGCATGGAGTCAGCAGCCAGAGGAGTTGACAAATCTTTTTGGGAAGAGTTAACTCCACCATTAGGTGTGTAAGTTCCATTGCCGGTGGAGGAAGGCTGGAAATAACTAATAGGATACTGGAAATGCTGGGGTCCATACAGAGCAGAATCAGGTCCTCCGGGTGAGGAATAAGTTCCATAAGGTGCATAGCCGTAACTGTTTTGATAATCTCCATAAACACCCTGCAAACAACAATCATTGATGAGAAATAACGTACAAATAACCACCCCATCAAAAAAAAGTACAAAAAAATAGAAGCCCTGAAGCTTTCAAATGAACAGATCACTAAATGCATATGAGAAAAAGAGAATCCCAGGTTGGAAAAAATATATAACATGGCAATCGTCATCAACTTGCTTTCAAGAAGCATGATATCCCCGATTAAATGCAAAAAGGGGGTCAACGAAATAAATAGTTACTTACAGGAGACATGTCAACCCCATTGGAACTTCCATAGTGATCCCAGTCATTCACAGAGGATCCATTGAAACCTAGTTTTTTTCAACAATCAAAAAAATTGAAGGGGAAATAAGCGAAGAGTCATGAAACAGAACAGGAAAAATACAATACTGCAAGCATCAAAGAAGAATGAAACTATTACCTCCATAATAATAGGTTGAGGAAGGATATCCAGTGGGATTGTAGAACATGCTGGGGTTCATAAAATCGGGATGAGGACTGGCAGTCCTCTCGAAAGGTTTGCTAAAACCATTCATCTGACTACCCCCGATGTCCACTCCATACTTAACACCCGAAGCCTTAAAAAACACAAACTCTGATCAGAATTAGGGAGTGGATGCAGTAAATCCGCAGATGGCTAACATAATAAAACTAAATAGATAGCTTATAACTGAAAACTAAATAGATTATACACGAACTTTCTTTGCAGGCTCTGAATCCTGGATGGGTTTGTCGAGCGAATCCAAGGACAGTTTCTGCAGCAGCTCAGCTGCTTCTGAAAACCAAAAACCAAAAACTCATTCAATTAACCTTAATTCTGATCAATTGAGAAGCCAGTTAGCCTAAAAGTTAATCTATAGAAGCAACAAATCCAAAGAGAAACAGAAAAAATATCCGTAACCAAGGAAAATCAAGCCAGCCCCAATTCTAGCAGCTCTTCAACCTTATCTTTTAAATTTTTCAAAAAAGAAAAAAGAAAAAAAAGGAAGTAAACGAAATCCAAGAACCCAATAACTAATTTGATGGTCTTAGCCTTAGCCAGCATAACTCAACTAACGACAACAGCAGATAAACAAAAACATAAATCTTGACATGAAAAAAAAATTAAAGCAAAAATAAAAAAGGAGAAGAAGAGAGAAATAGATGAAAAATTCAAAAAACAGAAGAAAACATGAGATCTGTAGAAAACAAAAGAGGAGAAGACAAAAGGGATACCGTCTGAAGGTGCAGAAATGGTAGCCATGTCCCAAAAATCAAATCTTTAAAAAAAAAAAGCAGATAAACCCTTCCAGGAGCAGGAGCACTCCTCCTTCACCAAGTTCTTCCCTTAAAATAAAATCACAAGGAAGAAGGAAGAAAGAGCAGGGAAGGAGCAAAACCCAACAAGGAGTTGAGCAGGGTTTCCGAGCCGTAAAGGTGGCGGCTTGGGATGGGGGAGGAGGAAGGCGGAGCTTAGAGGAGAAGAAGGGTTTTAGGGGAAAACCTGCGTTTGTACAAGATTTCTTCTTATTGTAGTAAGTACTAGTAACTACTAACTAGCTATAAGAAGAACCCATCTTAACTTATTTAAGGGGAACCACGCCTTCTGTTGCCTCCAAATAAAAAGACCTATTGGAGTATTTTCCTTTTTTTGGTTTTTCTTTGATGAAGTAGCTCAGAGGCTAGATTACATAACACCGTCGTGTTTCGCAATCTTACGAATGCTTCTCAGGGTGGGTTGTGTCGATGCATCCCTAGTAAGCACAAATTTTGAATAAGGAATACGAGTTGTAAATTTTGAATCGAGACATGTAAAGTGTACACTCACAGAAAATCAAATGTAGAGGAAAAGATCTTGAGAAAACACACAAATATATATTGTATGGATTAGATTAGATTACTGCTCCCACACACTTTTCTCGAACACGTGTTCTTATTCCACTTCATACAACTTCTGTTACCAAACCAATTGACATACTGTATAAGAAGCATCCACTACTGCTCCTGCATCCAAAGGCGTTAGTATCAAAACCATCATCTGATCATTCTCTAAAATTTGGTCTTCTGCTTCAAATAAAATCAAACGCAATTTTATTATCCATCTGTCATCTACCCTCTCATAGCCACAAGCAAGCAAAGGTTTAACCAGGCAAATTTGGGTCACCATTTTTTGACAGTTCACACATACATAGGGCTTCGACCACAAAACGAGCTCTTGAAAACCAATTTATCTATCTGGTCGGAGTCCAGACTATAACAAGGTTTTAACTTATGATGCTATGAAGAGTACCGTTGCTCTTTCCATAATTGTTGTAAGTACAAACCACAAGAATATATTTGATGCCTTTTTTTTATTTAGTTATATGATTCTCTTTTACACCAAAAGGTTCCACCTTCTGTGCGGGATCACAGCAGTTGGCCTCAACTCCTCTATCTACGGATTTTCGAATCCGATACACTTGCTATACGCTGAAAGCTGGTACAAGATTAACTCAGAAATTGTACTTCTCTCAAAACTTTTGCGGCGTCTTCAGGGAAAATAGGGTTAATATGACACCCAGTCGCCAGTTCAAATCCTGCAGCACTAGTTAACTGCGGTACTATTTGGAGAAACCAATGCATGTAGGGTTCGCATGGGGGATTGAAATGGAACGGCGAAGTGTGAACCATGAAATTAAATGGAGGTTTGTTCAGCTGCAAGGAAATCTTAGAAAGCATGAGTTTTAACAGACCTCCAAGATCAACAGCCTGCCAATGAAATCACAAATTCTCGCTTGTTATATTTGAAAACTATAAATACAGTAGTAGCATTCACAAGAACAATGAAATCAAGAGAACAGGAAAACTAAAGATTACCTTCTCATTGTCTAAGTCATGGAAATGAGGAGAATGGCCTCTGGGAATTATCCATACTTCAAATGGAAAAGTAGCAGCAAATGGAACAATGGATATGAAATGAGTAGATTCATTAATAAGGAACTCCTTCGGTTGCACCTCGCACAGTTTGCACTTCCCAGTCTGCTCAAAGAAATGCTTCATACTTTCAAGACGGGAAGAAACTGCAGGTGGAAGAATTGGAAGAGCAATCAACTGACTATGGGAGTGGCTCAATGAGGCACCAGCTGAGGCTCCATGGTTTTTAAATACCTATTAAATTACCGGAACTAAATTTAGTAATTAAAGCATGTTATAGAGGCAATGTGAAATCAAAGTAGAGACACAGAGAGCATGCCCAAAATCCAACATGTAGATTCATCAAGACACATGCCACACACCAATTCAAGGCAAAATAAACTACTACAAACCAAAGTGAGTTGTCTGTGCCAGGTGGTAATTGCATCATCTTCTTCTGAGGTGTAACTAAGACCTTAATTACAGATGAGATGAGGACGAAATACAATACAACCACAATGATGTTGCTGAATTTGACATTCAGACTATGCTAGTTAGCTAGTTCCACTCAGGTATGAACACAGGCATTCCCAAATTACACCAATCTCTCAGAAACCAAAACAAAAGGCCGTCTTTGATAAGGAAATGTCGTTTTGGTAGTTCTGATTAAATGTGCCAACTGAAGTAGGTTAATAAATTTTGATCAAATACTTATCATGCTTAGAGCAGCTTGGTGGTTCTCCAAACACAGTTATAACACTCTCCCATCAAACCCAAACTTTTTGACGCAGCAAACAAAAAAGATGAAAACAGAATGGTAAATTCTCTGCCTCCATTTAAATGAAAACGCAAATTTTACAGCTCGAAAAGCCCAAAACGCGACTATTTTACTCCGCATTAAGTAATATAAACGCTTGGAATTCAAAAAATCGAACTTTGTAATCAGAAGGTAAATTTTAGTAGGAACCTGAATGTATCGAATGGAATTGCGAGTCCGGAGCTGGTCGATCCGCTTCTTATAAGCGAGTAGAACATCCCCAAGACGAACCGGGTCAAGATCAAGTAGGTGAACTGAATGGACCGGGGTCTCGATCACCACCTCATGGAACCCTACCCCACCAATTCGTTCATCATCAACTACCTCCAGGTCCTCGTCCAATGTTTGCTTAAGGGGCGGAGGAACTGAATCCTCTCCGTCGGCCCTGGTGAGAGCTGGATACATATTCTGGACGACCCGAATAGTCCAACTGGGCTCGGAATCGGGCTGGACCCGGAAGATCTCGGGGGCGCATAGGTGTTCATTGCCACTGCAAAATGGGCAGTTGGCGGAGGACTGGTTGGAATCGGAGGAGGATGTGGATTTGGAGGACTTGAAGTCGGACGGGCGGCGTGACCTGGCCGGCGAGAATATCACCCACCGGTTGTTCACGGCGTCTTTCCGGATTTCTGGGAGTTGCTTCTTCTTCTCTTCTGCTTCTGCCATTTTCTGGGATTTCAGTTTGTTTTTCAGCTTTCCCCCATTTTCTATACAAGTGTCTGCGAATAAGAACTCTCCAGCAGAACAGGGGCCAAAATGAAAAGGATGCAATTCTCGGGATTTTAAGAATTTTATTTATAGACTGGGCCTCTAATTTAGTATTTATTTCTATTCATCAGTAAAAGAACGTTATAATAATATTAATAATACAATTTGGCAAAAATATTTTTTGATTGATATAGATGATTTCCCATATAGTAATTTATTTGTTATGTTGTTTTTCAGTTTAACAACATGAATTATTTATTGAGAATTAATGGAGTACTTTGATCTTCTAAATTTGTATACATGGAAATTTTATTTATTAGTACCGCAATACAAACACACGCACCACACTTTGATTAGTGGCATTTCTTTTCCTTTTTGAAATGGCGTTTCATTTTGTGCATTTTCTCATTCAGTGTGATAAGGAACCAAAAGCCCTGCTCACTTCCATCTCCAACATAAACTTTGTGCACACGAATGAGAATTGTTGTTCTCCAACATAAAATTTCCATGTATACGAATTGTTGTTCCTGATCAGACATGATGGCTACACGAATCATACATGAAAACCAACACACAGCAGCTAACAACTACAACTACAGGTAAAAATCATTCTTCAATCATTCTTTATGATATGCATCATATACATTCAGCTTCGCAAAATAAGCATCAACCCACAACTCATTGGATTCCGCATCATTTCAAATTCCAAATTTCCCAACGCTGTATGAGCTAAATGGGGTAACACTACAGCTGAAACATATTAACAACCTACTCATCCATGGAGTAACCCCCCTTGGAGGTTAGACTCAGTCGCCACTAATAAGGGGAGAAGATAAGTTAAACTGCAATTTAATCATTCACATTGCTATTCCCATCATTTCCAGCTTCAAATTCGTCCATTTGGTTTCCCAAGAATCAAACAAAAGGATGGTGTCGCCTTACTGCTGTCCCAAGTGCAACACGAATTTAACCATCTCAAAACAATCATTCATCTAGAATAAGCGCTTCCTACAGTCCGTCGCGCCACAATAACAGGGCATTTGTATGATTTTCTTATCAGGGCCCTCGACACTATCAAGGGCGTATCCATAATCATATGTCAGCTCCTAGACGTAATATCAGAAATCTAATCAGATTTGATCCTCATGCGATAGCTTCTAAAATGCTTACAATGGTTATTTGAAGAAACACACTTCCTATGCAAAACTGGAGATCAAATGACACAAATCAACCCTCAACTTGAAGACAGGTATAAACTGAACGGAAAAATGCCTCCAAGTTGAGGGATGGTTCGTGTCATTTCACAAAAAAAAATACAAGTAACATTATTAAATGAATATGAAGACAAAGGGGAGACAAACAGATAGAAGAGAAAGATGGTCAGACCTTTAATGGGGGAATGTTGTCGGCCGCAATCAGAACCACTCGGGCAAGTTTAACGTCGTGGTGAGTGCTTAATATACACTGAACGAAAAGATTTGGCTGGCAACTGTGATTAATGAACCTTGCAACATTGCCACTCGTACCAGCATCAATGCAAAATTCAGGCGCAACATCAACATCGTTCGCCAAATTTGATGGCAAGGATACATCCCCAAGTCGTCTCTGCAAAAATAAATAAATACATCAATATAAAGAAACAGTACCAGCTCTCAATAACAAAGGCTTCCTGAAAGATTGAACAATCCAGTAAAAAGAAACAGTATCAGCCCTCAATAACAAAGGATTGCTCATCTTCAAAAAAAAAAAAAAACAAAGGATTGCTAAATGATTGAACATCCAGTTAAAAAAAACAGTATCAGCTCTCAATAAGACTTGCTAAAAGATTGAACAATCCAGTAAAAAATAAAAACACACTTACATATTCTCAGACAAACCAGAGACTTACATGACCTCATACAAATCAGAGTTATAGCTATAGGCTGATGTTAGTTAATACTTTGCCTTTTGAACAATAATCTCATTACACAAGCCACTTTTACCATGTAGCATTTTGTTTATAATGACAAAACTAGCTGCGGAATATCAGCCAAAGAATTGCTAGTGTTTGGTGTTATGTGACTTTATAATGGATACTCCCTCCGTCCCGAAATGAGCAACTCCAACCACGACACCGAAACACTAATTGGTGTTTTGGTGTAAAAAAATTGCACTCCAACGAATAGCGTTACATCAAATTTGCTATAAACTGTCAATTGCACCATCTTGGTGCACAATCTTTTTATTTTTATCTAGATGCATGATTTGCTATATAGTTAAACTTAAAATATGAGTTATGTTATGAAAGTTATACTACCTCCTATTCACAACGTAAGTCCACTTTGAGTGTTATATTGACCTATTAAATAGACCAACCACTTAATTTTTCTCTATTGTGACTCCAACACAGGTGCTTGTGTGTATTGGGATTCTATAAATGACGGGGTAAACTGGACAATTGAAAATTTATGATTTGGAAAACTAAGTGGACTTACAATTTGACAGAACTCGATTTATCAAGTGGAATTATGTTTTGAGAAGGAGGTAGTATGATATTAAAGATTAGTAGAGATCCCATCTGGACTATAATATTTTTTTTTAATTTTTAGTTATTATTAAAATTGAATATGCAACAACATTGAAAAAAAAAATTGATACTTCTACAATCACATTAAAGAAATTACGAAATATACAAAACAAAATTATCACCATCTACAAGATTTTAACTACCAAAATTGAAAATTCGATGTGTAAAGGTTGGAGTGCAAAGATGGTGTAAAAGGATGCTTGGAATATTCTATTTCTGAACTAAACTTTAAGTAAATTGTAGAGCAATGATTGGAGTTGCTCATCTAACATAAATTCACAGACTCCACAAAATTATTGTAATATAAAGGAGTAGAGTCGTTTTTTAAGGCATGATAGTTTCACTTTAAACAACAAATGGAGGATAGAATACAGCGAGGAATAGCTAATCTAAGCTCTAAAACCAGAACCAATCATATATGTATAGTACCCAGCTCTCGATGTCCAAAAACATAGAATAAGAAGGGCATTATGACAACTGACTCAGCAGCAATGTTCTCTAAGTGCCCACAAACATAAAATAAGAAGGGCATAATGACAACTATCTAGGTAAAGAAACATGTTTCCTCAAGAGTAATATACTCAAACATACCTCTCGTCCATCAATGCCCTTCATTGTTTGCAAACAATCAATGTCAAAAATATAGCTGTTTCCAGTAGCTGCCTCTATTTCATCTGTCTTTGTTAGACGACCAATGTATTCACAAATGGGTGCACCAGAAGGTATGTAATCCCAGGACCTGACGCCCCATCCCCTACTTGGTGTTTTAAAAACCTGTTGCCACGAGAGGAGTGGGTTAAAATGCTCAACGCATCACGAACTACAAAACAAAGGACAAAATATAAATAACCAATATTGACTGATTTCCATACTACCTCTAGCCGGTATTTTAGGCCTCTCTGAGATATTCGGTTTACACAACCAGGCCCACAACCACAACTAGGATTGCATTCAAATACAACAGCCTTTGGTTCGATCAACCTGAGAAGACCAAAAGAGAAGAGAATAAACCCATGCTTACTTGAATATAAATCCGTGCATCCACTGATTTTTTAAGTACCTGCCACCATCACGAAGTACATATGGGAACTCTGAGCCATTGAGTTTAGCACAAGCACAAACTCTGGGATCAGCGCATGTTCCCTTGCATTTACATCCTGAAGCATTCTGAGGAAGTTTAACACTTCTAGCATATTTCATTTCTTTTTGGTATGTGAAACCTGAATTCAAACTTAAACGAGTGAGGAACTGATATAATCACTTGAAAACTTCAATGAAAGATGTATAAATAATCCATACGGTGAAACCACACCGAAACATATACTTGAAACTAGCCCACATCTCTAATAAACAGTAGTCCTATGCCCTAAACCAAAATCCTTATGATCAAATACACTTAATGATTAAGTATTTAATCCAAAAGGCTTGCAATTCATTAAGTTGCCATTAAGTAAGTTATCAAAACTGTGCAAACAAATTAAGTAATTAATCAATCATGAAGTGTTGAATTGGTTTATCAAACAGGTCCTTGACGTCTTCAAGAAACAAGTTCAAAACAGATGAAAACTGTGCAAAGCACCAGAGTGAGCACAAGGAAACGCTTAACATTTATGATCATAACTACAAATTAAACATGCCTGTAGGTGCAACAGGCGGGTCATCAACCAAATTAGTTGCTGGAATGGGAATATCCTCCATGCCTCCGGTAATATCATCGCACACCAATCTTTGGGAGCAAATATAATCAGATCAATCCTTCCCATAGTTCAAAGAATTAAAAGATAGTAGAGGAAAGTATAAATCATACCCACGTATTTCGGAGAGAGAGTTTGGAGCACGATTTCGAGTAAAATGAACCTGAAGCAGGAAAAGAAAGACAAAGATATGATGAGCTAAATGACTTATTATGAGCTATATAACTTCATTTCTACTCTATCTTTTTTTTGTGTTTCATACAGAAAAGTTCGAGGCAAAATGGCCCATTGAAAATATAGACAAGCCACACTTAATTTGTAGCAGACTTGTAAAGAAAAATTTATAGAAATCCATAGTGACTTTAGCACACAGCAATACAACATGATTTCCAATAGAAATCAACTACAGGTTAAAGAATATGAATTAATGTAGGGCATTGTTATCAATTGCATGCTAAGATGCGCTAAACCTCTTGACAACGAATATTTCACCCATCAAGATAGGAGATTTAACTTAGAAAGAGCTTTTTGAGGGCTACATGTTAAGGCATGAAGCCATAGTGCACACATAGAAAATAATAACCTAAAAAATATGAATATGCATTTCTGAATGAAAACGCACCTGATTGGTAGTTAATGGAGGTTGTCCCTCGAGCCTGATCAGGCGAAACTTATAGACGGTGAATCCAGAAACACCTTTCTCGGCCCAGTATTTCTCGACCTGCAAAAGCAGTCGAGTTACGCTCAACATTGCGAAAAGAAGGAGCCAGAAACCTATCAAAACAAAGAGTAAGTAGTAGGCATTTATCCAACCATGTGGGGTCAGAAATGCGGATCATATCTCGCTATTGCATTCTATCAAAACATGCTTTCATTGGTTGTGAATAAAACATGCCCTTATTGTTATTCTTTTCCAATTCTTTCCAGTGCTCCAATAACTCTTTCATAATACATTATCTGTTCCCACACACCTCAGTAGTTCCATCTAAAAGGTTGGCAACAAACATATCCACACCACTTTCAAAATTCAACACTAACGGATCGAATATAATGTCTGCACATCAGTCTCAACATTCCCAAATACCCTTGTCAAGAACAAATCTGAAAAGCAATACAAATATAAGCTGATCATTGGACAATGCAGTCGAATACATACATTCTCAACTTCACTTAACAACTGAAAGCTTGAACCTCCAGCAAAAAAAATGATTAAATTCTCATGCACATTAAGCATGCAACTTGAACATAAGTTCTGAAACTTTTCTACACATCAATTATAAGAAAGATGCATATTGATGTCATCCAATGGAGATATGAACAACGTTGGCCCAGAAGCATAAGTCATGTACCTTGTATAATCCATCATAAGTGTAAACTTTTCCAACGTAGCTGTTAGAACATTTATGACCACGCACAACTCGAACTGGAACTTCCTGGTCCTTACTGTTCTGCAAATTAGGTTGGGAACAACAAAAGTTAGTCATTACCCAAACCCTGAATGTCTTCAAAAATCAGATTCTCGGTATTGGCCACTCAATGATATCAAGGGTAAACTATTTCATCAATGGATATAGATATTTCAGATATCTTCACGGATTCAAGATGTCTGTCACATCAGCCCTATCGAATAACCAGTAAGTCAAGGTCACTACGCTAGATGGGCGATAATGTTGTGTACATTCTTACTCAATTAAATGAATAAAAAATTTTGAGCCCTGAATAAATTCTATATTTCTTCGACCAAGCATATGCAATCACCCTCAAAATTGATATTTCCTGAAACAAGAACTTGACAAACAAACAAACAAAAAAGGAGCCTGTTGTTGCTTTGTCCAACAACAAAATTCTTTTTTCTTGCTATATGGGGTCAGCAATATGCTCGATCAATACACATGTCATTATATTTAATATTTCAAGTCATTTTGATAGTCTCATTCCAAGTTTCTCTAGATCTACCCCTTCTTAATTTGATTTCATGATTCTATAATTTCTATCCATAGGTTTCCTATACACAAGGACATACCATCTTAAGCGTGATTCTCGTTTTCTCGTCTATCGTCTACCCTACTTTATTTCTAATACATTCATTTCTGATCTAATCTAACCTAGTAATCCCACACATATATTACTCTCATCTCTACAGCTTGCAATTTTTTTTCCAGCTTTCTAGTTAGTAGCTCAACACTCTGGTTCATATAGCATAGTTGATAGAATGACAGTTCAAAAGATCTTGCCTTTAAAACTCAATGTTACCTTCGGATCACAAAGTATTGATAGCGTGCTCTGCCGTTTGTTCCGCCCCATTTGAATTCATTGTATTTTATACTTATCAATGTTTCCACTTCCATTTAAATAAATTAATCCTAAAAATTAAAATTTTTAGACGTGCTTAACTCGTGTTCACCAATTTTAACATTTAACATCTAGCTACTCCTACGAGGCTACAAGTACTAAGGTGGCACTCCATATATTCTGTTTTACCCCTACTTATAGTAATAGATTTAGATTCTGGCATCTATCACCAAGTTTATAACTGGCATTTTACCCAGCTCTTATCTATTAAAACCATGTCATCCGCGAACAACATACATTTAGGGGTAGAGATTTGCAAATATTAAGAATTTCATCATTTACTACGGCAAAAAGATATGGGCTCAACTCTTTGCCTATCTCATATAGAAAATTTATTTGTCAAATTGTGCATACAACCACATTCACTGAAGATATCTTAAACGACCTGTTATTAGATTATCAACATCTGAAAGGACATCTCTAATGTTCAGCAATATGATGAATTTGAAGTAAATAAACAATCATTGTGCAACTACAATGACTAAAATAAAGCAGCAATGAAAAACATACCTTGAGTGCCAAATTACCACGTTTCAATTCTTGATCTTTCATTTGACGCTTATCACCAAGCAAGTTGTTACCCCCTTGACCAGTGTAAACAATAACATTATGATTGTCTAAGTCATCCTCATATTGTCCAGATACCACGATGCATGTCGCTATTGGCAGTTCGTAGTTGCCAAGTTTCTACAACATTCACGAAAGAAGAACATTAAAAAAAATCATTTATGTATAGATGAAAGAGAACTACAAATGTATATAACCAAAACCGATATAATAAATAAATAAATAAATAGGTGGAACAACAAACATCCTTTATCAGTCAGCACCAGGTTAGTAATATGTACCAGAGAGCCAGGTGAAAAATGAAATGGGTCACCAGGAGAGAACAAGCACAACATACTTGATTTTCACCAAGGCCATTGAGAAATAAATTTCAAGTTGGAAGTTTGAAATGTTAACTAGACCAGACAGTAGATATACTTTAATTTCAGTCCAACATGAACCTTTAAAAGTCATCCAAATACTCCTTTTGTCCCAAAAAAATAGTCCAAATTGAGTTTTGAACTATTATTTTGTCCCAAAACCCAATGTGGACTATTTATTTGGGAGTACCAATACTAAATGCAATTGGGGCACACGAGGAAATATGACTTACAGAACTTCAGGAAAAACTAATAACAAATTCAAGTGATTACCGATCTTTTTCCCATGCCAATGAAGTCAATCCCATTAAGCCAATGGCTATGGAAACCTAGCACACACATCTCCACCCTTGAAAAAAATTGATGCCCTACTTCAATACCTGCAATCGTCACAAATACATCAGACTTTATTAGACAAACAAAACATGTAGTTAATTTTGAAATATATGTCCTAGGACTTTTATCAAGGCTAAGGAAGCATTAGATGTGGTCAGAGCTAACCAATCAATTATCCACACAACTTATCACAATATTGTGTCGCACCAATACAATTTCACCTTGCATAATTCCAATGCAAGGTTAATGTTGGAACAAATGGACAAAGGACATCTCATTTGTAAAATGATATATATTTTGAAATTTTACTGTTTTTTTCTAAAACGACATCTATTTTGAAATGGAGGGAGTATTTACAAGTGAAAAATTATGAAAATTCATTTATGGGATGCAACAAAAGGATAAGAAACAGGTTTGTGGAAAAAGTGAATCTTAATAGCATGCACACAAAGTAAAATGGCATCAATTTTTGGCCATGTCAAAGAGAACAATATTTCCGGGGGAAGCACATACAACTTATAGAAATTTAATTAAAAACAAGAAGAAGATTAAGCCTCAAACAAAACAAAAACAAGCCGAATGTCTGAGCATCCTTGAACATCGAGTTAATGCTTCATATACAAATATATCTTATGTTCAAGCATCCTTGTCAATTAGTTTCATGTTTTGTATACAGATATAGCGTACTTTCAAGCATTTTCAAACTTTAAAATATGTACCAAGGGTTCATAACCCCATATATAAAGCCAGCTAAGTAACAGTTTACGAGCCACTAGGCCAAGAAGAAGTTGCCAAATAAGATAACGAATCAAATTAAGGTCATAGAGAGCACACATTGAATGCATTAAACTAAACCAACCAACCTGGAATTGAGCCTATCTTTTTCTCAGGGTTTAAAATATATTTCATCTCCCGCATCTGCAAACATTAATAACAGTCAATTACATGCGAATACTAACAAAGTTGCAAGTCTTGTCATATTAAAAGTCTCATAACAAAGCAGCAAACCAAAAAAAAAAAGAATATCGTGATCCATCAACTTTTAAATACACAATCACGTCTTAAAAGCAAAACTTCGTATGAGAGAACCTATGTAAGTTAAGTTTAAGTTAAGTTTGGGAACAAACACAAAAAATTTATAGATCAAGCTTAGCAAATGTAAGATTGAAATAGGAAAATCCCGCAAACCAAGAAAGGATCTTCTTCACCCCCCCAAGTTCAAGTGATCACAACAATAACAGTAACAACATACCCATACCAAAGTATATTTCCAACTTAGCTGGGGACTAGGGTCAAGATTTACACAACCTTACCATGTATTTTCAATACAAGGAGGTTGTTTAAGTACGACACAAGATGCATTAGTACATTTGATGTATTGATGTTCAGCAACTTCACTAAAATTAAGAAGCACCAAAATTTAATTGTTCCATTTTGATCTAATTCATTGTAAGCAAATCAACCAACAACAGCAGCAGCAGCAACAACAACAACAACAAGTCTTTTTTCCACTAGGTGGGGTCGGCTATATGGATCATATGTCGCCATCGTGTTCGGTGAGTGCATAAATCATCGGACAAATTTAAATATTTCAACAAAAAAAAAAAAAAGAAAAGCTAGAGAATTTGACCAAATTGGAGATGAGTTAACATGCCTTAGTTAATGCCTTGAGATCAGGTCGTTGGGAGCCCCTCCTGATATCATCTTCTTTAACTTTCTGCAAATGTTTTGACATCATAAACATGTTATACTAGCAAACAAGTTAAAAATGAATATAAACAAAAAAAGTTATTTTGATTCATAAAAAGAAAAATGAACAGTCCAAATTCAAAGAAATCCAGCGCTTTTGCATGCTACTTCTCATTTTAAAATAGAGCTGGCCATGTTATCATCGTACCATGCGGTTAAGATGAGTTGGGCTCTTTCTAACCATGTAGGATCAACTATGTGAATCATATGCAGCCATCATGAGCGTCAAAATAGATACTCCCTCTGTCCCAAAATTATTATCCAGTTTGAGATTTCATTTTTAGTATAATTTGAACTAAAAATGAAAATCCAAACTGGACAATAATTTTGAGATGGAGGGAGTATTATTCAAATTCAAAGAAGCCATGTAATCCTTAAATTTACGAGAGAACGTATTCCCCTTTTGATTCACGTATTCACATAGTCTAAACCACAGATGACCAAACTATCTAAACAAACAGGAACACTAACATCACTTATAGTTTGATAAATCACACTAAGATATCAAGAATGACCCAGTCCCGGGAAAAAAAACCCAAAATGGTAAAAAGAGGGAAAATGCTAAATATCAAGCGTAACATATGAGAATGGAAACCCGGTGTAAGGTATGAGGCGATAAGTTTGAGTTGACACTTGCCGGGAAACGAAAAGAAAAGTATTTATAAACTATAGGTTATCAATTTCACCTTGGACTTAGGAGAAGCTTTCCCACTGCGTTTAGGAGAACCTTTCCCACTGCTCTTCGGTTTTCCGACCCGTTTCTCTTCCTCCTATCTCATACCAAAAGGTAAAAAAAAAATAATAAGAATAAGAATAATAATGGTAAAAAATGTCAAATCGACCCACAAAATCACTCGATTAGATTTTCTCAAAACATAAATGAGTAAAGATGAGTTCAAAGATGATGGACCTGAACGAAGTGGAGGTAGCATTTGTTGAACTTCCTGAGTGTATCGGTGACCATAGCAGACGCAGATGAACTACCCCCCTTAACATCCTCATTTTCGATTTCAGCTTCCGCCGGCGGTACAACGGCGGGAGCAGGAGCGGGAGTGTCCTCGTCTAACTTTCGCTTTTTACTGTTGGGTGAACTAGGTCCGCCGCGGCAGCCCTTGATGACTCTTTTGACGGATTTGGGGCTAGGGGTCGGAACAGCTTCCGCACTCTTAGGTTTCAGTGGGGATGACTTTTGTTTTTGGTTTTCCAAACGGATACTGCTCCTCGTAATCCTCCGACCATTACTGCCGTCGTCAACGCCGGAGGTAGCAATGGCGACCATTGCGGTGGTTGGGGGGAGAGCTGGCGTCACTAATGGACGGCGATCGGAGAGAGAGAAGATGCGAATGGAGGGAAAATGGGGCAAGCGTCAATTTGTGTGGCGGAAATATGGAAATTTTTAGCGAAATTGGAAATTAAGGGAAAAAAAAAAAAAGAAAAAAAGTGGGAATCCCCATTTTTTGAATTTTAGGGGTTTGTGCAATGGTTACTCCCATTCCCAAGGAAATTTTGGTGTTGGAGAAGAAACGCATTTTCGTTGCGGGGTAAAACCGTCATCTCCAGCATACCAATATGATATCCCCTTTCTTTCTTTTTTGGTTGAAGATCGTTTTCTCATGGTGTGTTTCTGTTTCTATTTTTATTTTTCTATTAAAAATGTTTAAAAAATGTAGTAAAATTCTAAAACAGTATGCTCGGGTAGAACATTTATTAAGAAAAAAATTTGGAAAAAATAAACCCTTAAAAAAAGAAACCAAACAAAGCTTTCATACACTACTTTTAATTTCAGCAGGGATAGAATCGGTAAAAAAATGGGCGAACTACATTTCCTCCCGAATTTTGACCCAATCTATCTTAAACTCCCTGAGTTTTGGTTATACTATAATATATCCCCTTGACTAACAGTCAACCTATTAAATCCCCATCATCTTACTAACATCATCATCAATTTTGTGTTAACGGTCAAAAATACCCTTCAGTCTATATTTTATAAATTATTTAATTTAAATGATTTTAAAAATAAATCATAAATTAATTTTTAAAAAAATACTCCACATTAATTATTCTGAAATATAACTTTGTAAAACTAACTAATGTACATAATAATAAATTTTTAAAACTAACTATATATCATGTATTCTGAAATAAAATAAGCTTCATTAAGTAACTTTTTTTTAACAAAACTTGATAAATTTTTATTATTAATCATGAATTAACTTTGTTTAGTAACTTATGTTATTAGATGTGAAAATGACCAATTTTAAGTATTTTTCATTTTTAATGGTCAAAAAATGAAAAAAAAAATGAAGTGTATGTAAATCGTGAACATTTTAGTCATTTTAATGTTTGAACCTGCTCAGGGGTTATACCAAAACTCGGGGGATTTTGGCAGCTTGGGTCAAAACTCGGGGGATAAAATGTAGTTCGCCCAAAAAAAGTTTATTGAAAACTCATAGTAATTGAGAAACAAACAATAATTAAAATAAAAATGTAATTTTATTAATTTTTACTAAAAAAAAATACCAACAAAATATATGGATCACGATACTAGTTGCTGTACTAAAACAGGATACACTTTAGTCACTTTTTGTTCTTTTTTTTACCATGTACTAGGTTATATCACATGCATTGTACAAATCATTAAGTCGACTATTAGCGTGAAAAGAAAATCCACGTGCTTGATTAAATTTTAATTGTAAAGTAGAATCTAAAATAAAACAAATGATTATTAGTCATGAGTTGTAAAAAGACGAGGTTAAAATTAGGTTATATCAAGATTATTTTTATAATCTAAATTTTGTTGAATTTGAATATGAGAATAATATTTTACTTGAAATTTTATCGTAATTTTACCTGTGAAATTTTACCATTATTTAATAAGATTGGTGTTAGAATAATTGATTTTGAATATAGGAACTAACATTTTTCTCGTAATTTTATCCATGAAATTTTTAATTTTTAAATTGAGATTATTCTGAGAATCATTCCCATTAGTCCATCAAATATTTTCCTCATATTTAAATGTTCATATTGAAAACAAAACGAATCAATTTGTTTGATTTAGTTACGCTTCATATTAGCCCATTTCAATTATAGTTATATTGAACATGCGGATTTGATATACTATTATGGAGAGGCAAAACAGACAATCAAAGACAAAAGCAAGCCAGCAAAATAATGACATCTACGCAGTCGGCTGACAAAACGAAAAATTCATCATAAATGCACAAAGTTCAGGAGTTCTCGGCATGAAAAGTTTATTCAGACACACACATTGACAAGCTATTAGTAAGTTCTTTTTAGATGTCAAATATAGCGTTCTAGGTCCTGCAAGCTTAACATTTGTAAGAGCTATTTGGGTTTGCTAATTTCATTGTTGTTAAATAGGTAGCACCCTGTGTATGTTAACTGAAATTTTCAAGGAGCAATAAAATCATGTCAGTTTATGAATATCTAAAATAATGTTATGGATATCCTTCAAAGGTATGACGTATTATTGGATTTATGGCATTATGAAGAAACAGGAAATAGCAAAAAAGATTTAGGGGCAAAAGACGGCAGGAAAATGTACTTCAGCCCGTCGTGGTTTTGTGTTTCTGTATTGAACCTTCGTCGGAAGGGATACCAGTTTCGGTAGGCTTCGTCATGATCAACAGGCAGCGATTGATATTATGAAGAAACAGGAAATAGCAAAGAAGATTTGGGGACAAAAGACAGCCGGAAAATGTACTTCAGTCCATCGTAGTTTTGTGTTTTTGTATTGAACCTTCGTCAGAGGGGATACCAATTTCGGTAGGCTTCGTCATGATCAACAGGCCGCGATTGATACCATGAAGAAACAGGAAATAACAAAGAAGATTTGGGGATAAAAGACGGACGGAAAATGTACTTCAATCTGTCATGGTTTTGTGTTTTTGTATTAGGGTTAAAATACATAGAATTAGGATTACAGTAGTATCTAGGTTAAATTACAATATTTACTAATTAACCTAACCCTAATTTCCTTGATACATTCTAATAGGGGGAAGAATCAATGGAATTGGTCTCCATTCTAACGAGAGATATAAGATTGTTGCTATTGTCAGAGATATGAAGCTTTTAACATTGTTACCTACAACCATTGAAACTGCCATTCCATGCGCAAAAATTGCGGGGTCTGTAATCATGCAAATTGGAATGGTAGCCTCTGCGATATTAAGGTTTGGTGATAGTTAATACATCAACAAGATGAATGGTTCATGTTGCATTACGTGGATTTTGCTATACATTGACCTATAATTTATAAATCTTTTATTGAAATTTTTCGACATTCAAAACTCTTGTCTCAGAGATTTGTGACAACGAAAATTCATGTCAACATTATTTAAGTTTCTCAATTTGTATCCAAATATTGGCGGATACATCACAACGTTTATCCCATGTTAGTCAATTCATCCCAAACTTTTAAAATTGAGTGAATATATCCCAAGGTTTTTAAAATTGAACGCAACCATCTCATGACTTGTTGTTAACCTAGAGTAACATGTAAATTTTACTCAATTTCATAATTTTACTTAGTTCGATGTTTATTTCTTTTGCTAATTATTCCTTTTTTTATTTTATTTTTATTTTTTTTATTTTAATCTAGTTAATATGTCATTCTATGGCCTCATGTCTCCCAATACTGTTACCGTTACTGAACACAACACTCGATTTTCAATTGTTTTTTCATAATAGTTTATTAATAAATATCCAATTTTCGCATATCTTTTACATTTCTACCATACCTTTTCACAATCTTAATACAAAAAAAATATTTAAAAACACACACTGACTGAAAAAAGATCCAAACATAGGTAAGGATTTCAATTTATGTTTGAAACAGGTGGAATCAAAATCCGCATTATTTAGATATTAAAAAATAAAAAATAAGAAATAAAAAACCAATTGTTTCTTTATAATAAGGTCATAACCAGGTTTGGAAAAATTTTATTAAACAAATATTGAAAATTAAGAGAGAGAGAGAGGGAAAGAAAGAGAGAGAGAATACTAATTTTCACCTATTGTATCAGATCAATTTTATGTTGTTTCAGGTTAATGGGATAATTGCACTCAATTTTAAAACCTTGGGATAAAATTACTCAATTTTAAAAGTTTGGGATAAATTGGTTAGCAGAAAGTAAACGTTAGGATGTATCCGCTAATATTCCCTTTAGAAGTGGTTGGACTTTACTTTCTCAAAGTTTTGTAAATTATTAGATACTATCTATTAACCCCTCAAAAGAAGAAAAAAAGATTTTAAAGTCTCCTTTATGCAATTGTTTTTGATTTCCTAGGTATCATCGCCATTTATGATTAATATCACGACCACATCGTAGGTACATTAATGTTAACTAGATGCTTGGCCCGGACAGATGTCTGGACGCCCTCTCTAAATTATTATTTTATTAAAATCTAATTGAATTACTATTTTTTGAGGAATTAATTTGGCGTATATATCATTTATACTATGGTTTGGGGCTTAAAAAAATATACCTATAAATCTGAGGTTATAAGGGAAAAGAATAATAAATAATTAGTTTATAAGGCATTATTCTTAATTGCTGGATTTAGGTATTTTTATTTTTTGTTTATATTAAGCCTGCAAAACTATACGATTGTACATTTGAATTTGAATTAATATATCTATTTGTTTGACTTGTAACTGATCCTTATTTATAGTAAAACATGTGTTTTTTTTTAAAAAAAAAAAATTATATAACTTCTAATTAAAAGAGACTTACACGTGACGAAAAAACTTCTGAAATCTGAAATATGGTGCATTGGAGCCAAAACAGATACATACATAGTTGCCACATAAACTTCATGTCTTCTGCTTTAATAGGGTAAAAGGGATATGGTATATGCAATCTACAATCATCTATAATTAATACAAATTAATACAATTTACTTTGACGTGAAGAGAAATAACGTAACACTATTATAGTATGCAAATCTTAAAAATTCACTTTAATTCATCACAACCCGTGCGAATGAATGGGTTCAGAACCTAATATTGAATTATAGCATACTCCAATTTTTATAGTGTATATGTTATCTTTTCCATTTTTCTTTAATTTCATATATGTTATTCTTATATTCAATTCTACACTCCTTTCAAAATGAGAAGGCAACATCATGACCAGGTCACCACAAGTCCACAATCATCCACACTTCTTCTCAATTCAGCCATTTCTAGCACCCAATTACAATTATTGATTGTTTAATAGCCAAGAAAAATTTAGAATACACCCGAACAAGAACCAACTTAAAAAAAAAATAAAAAAAATCAGCAATATAAAATGTTATAATTATGATTCAAATGAACAAACGAAGTTGGAAGTAAAATCATGACAACTACCCTGATATTATAAAGACTTTGAAAAATCAACAATGAAAGCATGAGGTTTAGAAACAATTCTGAAAATTAGGGAAGTAAAAAAATAATTTTATACCATGAAAAAAGTGGACAAAGAAAAGTACACATGATTTGAGCAAAATCCTCATCACAACAAGTTTTAACAAATTGTTTCCCAGTTGGCATCACATCCCTCACGAAATTGTATGAAAAGAAAGATCCAGTGGGGAAATAAAAGAGTAGACGAGGATTGGGACTCAAAAAGGACATTACATTCATCTTGTGGAAAACAATTTCAAACCCAACATAATATTTTCCAACAAGAATCCACAAAAAACAAAAAACAAAAAACAAAAAACAAAAAAAAAACGACCTAAATGAGATCCTTACTGGCTACTGGCATCTAAACCTACTTTTTGTATAAACTCAATCCAACCAAAGTTCAAAATAAAGACAGATTCAATTGATTCAAATGAACCTTCAGTTCTGCAAACACCCTACAACCATAAAGTTATTAGATACCACCATTACAACTTCATAGGGCAGGCAGAAAAGAGGTCATCGCGAAATAAAAATCATAAATAAAAAATAGTTAGCAAACTCATCAAAAATAATGGTTTCAAAAATTTATAATCATGGTCACAATTACTCGTCTTTTGAGGTTCCCAATGGAAGTCTCAACAATTTTACCTCATTGGTTTCCCAACAAAGCCAGTAGTAAAACAAATATGATGATGTGGTTGAGTTAAGAGGGCGAGTACTTGTTTCTTTCTCGACAAAACAAGCTCCCATTGGCCCTCTCTTTTCATTCTTTCTTTTCTTTTTACCCTTTTTCCCCCCTTCACGCTTTTTTTCTCCATCTTACACGGGGCATAGAGGTGAAATTTACAACAATTAGGCCGGGGATGACCAGAAAATTCCCAGAGGTAAAGTAGTACAACACCTCCAGGGGTGGCTGGCTCGTCCTTTTCAACATACAGTTCGGCCATAGCAAATGGATGCAATGTACAGATTTTTTGACCATTTCTCCTACAAAAGGGAAAAAGCTTCAGGTTAAGAACCAGAAACACGGTAAACTTAAATGGAGCAAAGATGCGGGGTGAAAGAGAAATGAAAATTATAGAACAAGGAGTTTCCTCGTGCATAGTCCAGAGTCCAGACCAAAGGCAGCCAGGACACACTTCTCTGAATAGAAGGGTAACTGAAATGACTAGTAAACATTAAACATCACAATGAATGGATAAGATAGTCACTACACGGAGTTACCTTTACATGGTTACTAGGAAATGCAGATGTGCGTAACGTCTCTTGAGTCTCATCCACCATTTTACGCCTTGGAATGCTCAATATAAAGGCTGCTTGGTCAGTAGTGGCCGCCATAGATGTTATCCTGTAGCCACTTTCCCATCTTCGGTGAATTCCTTCACTAGGGTACAAGAAATCGAGCTCCACAACCTAGAGTTGGAAAAAGTTAAAACATATAGCTTTTAGCCTGCCCAGCGACGAATTTCAGCAGAGCATAAATAACACAAGAATAACCTAAGATTGTACACACTACCTGCTCAGAGAATCCAGAATTTCTGGACATGACAACCCCCCAGCGACTGCCAGCAGTGGTCATAGACGTGACGTGGAAGCCTTCCTTCCACTTCTTATTGATCCACTTGAATGGAAAAGATTCGCTCACTTTATAGGACTGTTGGGTGTAAGGAGTTCCTAATTAAGATTGGAAAAACAATAAGTAAAACTAATCGAGAAATCTAGAGGACAACAATTTAGTGCATGACTAACATTAAATACACAGCCATTTCAGCTACAAACCTTTTGACATAACAACTAAAGAACTTCCATTAGCAGCGCCAGCTATTGAGCTGATATAGAAGTTCTTCTCCCACTGTTCCATGATCCAATCCTGGTGGAAACCAGAAAAATAAACACTGAGAAAAAGATACTCGTCTTGACAAAGAATCGGCAGATAACAGCTCAAATATTTAGCTAACCTTATGAAGGAAGACGGCTGAAAGCTCGTAAACCTGTGCAGAGAAGCCAGTTCCTGCATCCATAATGAGGGCCCAGAGATTTGCAGCTGAAGCAACACAACTAATGTATAAACCATCTTCATTGCCCTTGTCCACATGCTGACGAAGTCTAGAGTCAGCAACATTATAGTGGTATCTGCAAACCAGTAAGATAAATGATTAGGCTGGGAAACATAGGAAAGTCGGTAATGTTTAATAAGTCACATTAACTAGCATATTGTGGGGATCAATCTGCCCAATCTTACAAAACATAATGTCCTAACTAAAAACAATTTCCAAAGATTTGCAAGATCTTGTCAAAATTCAAGCCAAATACAAGAAAATCCCTCTTTAAATCACACCATATAGAAACTTAAAACCCTCCTGCGAATGTAAGCTATTAGTGATCATGGCAGATAGAAGTACAATTATGAAAAACCAAACTATAAAAAAAAAAAAAATCCACAAAAAATTTGCAGGGTCTAGTTGAAATTCTAGCCGAATATAAGAATATCCATCTTCAAATGCCACAACATAAAAAATTAAAATCATCCATCGCATGTAAGCTAATAGTGATCGTGGCAAATAAAAATACTATCTCCCAAGGATGAAACACTCGCAGGATATTAGAATCGCATTGAACTCTCCATATAGACCTTGCTAATAGGTCATTCATGAGTTTTTTACTCGATTATTTGTTCTATAAATAGTAACATACTCAACTACTACTCATAACGTAAGAATAAAGAAGGCGCTTTCGAAGATTTTGAATGTTGAAAGTTCCCTGATTTTGTATCATTTATCTCATTTTCCTTAATGCCATTACAGACAGTTGGACAAGCGCCATTTGCCCATCAAAGATGTCAGAACTTTCCACTTAACCACAACAATGCCAGGAGGAATCTGTTGGACTAGCCAGTTTCCAGCTTGCCATTTATCGGCTAAGGAACCTCATAGTAATTACAGCAAAGTAGAATCATAGGCCTATTTATGATGTGACTCTAGGCAATAAAAAAACTACATAAAAATCATTTGCGTCTGTCCACTATATTTCAACAACAAAGCTATCTGAAAAAACTATCATATATAGAAGCATTTCATGAACCGAAGAAACTTCCAAACCACACAATTTTCTCGAATGGTCGAAGAACTTTCCAAACCATATATTACTATAAGACAAACTTGCCTTTTCTGCCTGCTTTGCAAAGAGAAGAAATCTAAATATGCTCTTGATCAAACAAGACCCCAAGCTAAGGCAAATGCTCCAAAACTAATTCAAGAGCTAAAGACCATAAAACGTCTAGAATATGATGGAAAAAATAAATAAATAAATTTACCGCTGCTTCATAGGTCTTCGTGCATTATAGACTGAGATCCACTGTGTCGCAGGGCTGCCGAGACGTACTTTTTTCTTTGGTTGTTCATCTTCTTCTAAGTTAATGAGAAGCCTTCCCCGCTTCTGCCCAACCTGACAGCAATTGGAAATCATATAAACAAAAATGTATGTTTTTTGACCAATGAGAAAACACTACACAAAGAAGTCTTCTAGATATTAACCAGTCCAACCTTGAGAGCTCCATCGATTCTTATTGGTCTCAATATTGTGCATGGTTCAATAAGACTATCAAAGAAAGATATCAACTTTGAATAGTTAGGCTCCTCGTCAAACTTCATATTCGTCACAGCTTCAAGAAACTGTTTGAATGGGGCCGGGCAAAAACAGCACATCAAATCCGGGGAAGTGGCCATCTTCTTTTTGCAAACAAGAAAACTCTTGTTGTCACCCTGTAATCTCCCAGAAAGGGAAAACAAGAATAAGATCACATGCAACGTTAACCAGACAAAAGCTCAAAAAGTATATTGTGATCAGCATGTAATGTCAATTCACCTGATACCCTTGCCATGGTAACCTTCCCTTTATAAGGAATATCAGTGTGTAAGCCAGAGATTCAAGGTCATCCCTTCGGCTTCCAGTTCGACCTAAATGTGCATGAACACTTGCATACCGTATGGTTCCCCTGGAAAAAAAAAATAATAATAAAACAGAAGGGAAAAAAAAAAGGTTATCAATAACTAGTCAGGATGCTTCATCAAACATTCATCCTGAACCTGACATACCTGAATATGTCTGGCCTCTGGTCATAGTCAACATGGTGGCCGGATGATGCATCTTTCCATCGTGAAGCTGTTACATAGAGAAAACTATTAACCTAAGGGAAACAATATCTTTCATTACATTGGTAATGTTTCGATGGAAGTAACTAACGACTTGGGGAATAGATGATAGATTTGAGAAACGAAAAGAGCTCTATCATACCTAAACCAAGATCTATGAGATATAGCTTCTTCTCATCAGGACTCCCAGGTTGACCTAGTAAAAAGTTCTCAGGCTTCACATCTCCATGCACAAAACTGAGCAAGACACCATGTCAAAAATGGTAATAGTTAAATATAAACTATACAACAGACTGAGAACTAATTTCACCATTGTAACTTAAACAATCGTACAAGATTACATATGCCAAGCAAAAAAGATGAAGAACAGAACACTGACCCTTTCAAATGAAGCTTTTCAAGAATAGAGATTGCCTCCACAGCAATGCAGGCAACCATACTTGGTGACATCCTGTTTCATAAGAAATCATTCACATGAGCATCATTAATGATACCCAAAAATAAACATAAGAAATTAACTGCTTTCAAGATATTTTCCATCAAATGCACTTGAAAGCGCAGCTATATGGATGTAAATAGGAAAGAGAAACAGAGTGAATGATCAGTGTCTTACGATTGGCCCAAGGAATTCCAAACGTCCCAAAGACTGGGTCCGAGCATGTCCATAACCTAAAAGGAAAGTTATTAGCAAAAGTAATAGGAAGTTCTAGAAGAAAAGGTGGTACCTTGGACACTCACCAGGATGTAAAAATCTCCTTGACGGCCCTTGTAGTGAACCCATGGTATCCCATAACATCCATTTAAGGTGCTTCAGAAAATAAAAAAAAAAATGATAAGGACAAACTCAAATCACTTTCAGCACAAAACATAAATATGAAGAAAGGAAAAAGAGAAAAGCAATAAGCAATTGGAGATACTTTAAAGAAAACAGCAAGGAGCTTACTTGTAAACTTGCCATTCGTAAGGAGGGCCATAATTGCAGCCCTTACTGTTCCGGTGTTCAAACTTCAGTGCAACCTAGAAACGGAGATTACTTCAGATAAGGAAATATGTAGATGATAGAACAACAACATTTTGGTAAACTAATATAAACAGACCTCCACTGCATCAGGCCCTGTTCTTTCAGAGCCTCCACTAACCCGTCGGCCAACATAGACTTGGCCGAAGCCACCTTTGCCCAACTTCCTTTCAGTCTTATATGCAGGAGAATTTCCCACTTGTACCTACAATCCAGCAACAGAGGAATAAGTTTCATAGTATATATTTACGCCTAAATGGAAATACAGTTTTACTGACCAAAATACAACAACTACAAAAGAGCCGCTATCCTACATGGGGTTGTCTATATTGATCACATGCTGTTGTTTTACTAAACATAAATGCGCTAAGAACATAGGGCAAAACTATAGAAAGGTAGAACACAAATGTGGTAAAAAAAAATAAAAATTAAAAAATTAAGGTCAAAGGTTTAGAAAGGTACCCTCTCAGGTACCGGAGTGGTGCTTCCTTCTTCTTCGGCTCCAAGAATTTTGTCGGCGCTTCCACCCTCCATTGCGTTATCTTTATCAGCAGCCCCTTCTACTCTATTAAAAGCTGCTTCCCCAGCACCAACAGGGGCGACGACTGCTTGAGGTACGGCCGCCTTAACGGGTGGCTCTGGATCTAAATCTATCAACCGAATCCCGCCCCGGCCTCTACCCGCGGGCCTGGAAGTTGTTGCTGCTGCTGCAAGCCCTTTTACAGCAGCTGCAGCATTACCTCTCCCTCTTCCTCCTCTTCTTCTGGTTCTGTTATTCTGAGTGGGTTGCACGAGCCAATTTTCTTCTTGGTTAGCAGGTTGTGTGGCAGGCTGGAGATCAGTAAGCCGCTTAGATCTCCGTGCTCCGCTCTGCAGCTCTGGCATCGTCACCCATGCAAGTCAGAGTCAGCTTGATTACCCTTTGGCCTTTCCTGCAAGGAACTTCATCAGCCAGAAAAAATGAGGAAATAAAAACAGGAAAGTCGAACAGATAGTAACTGGCATGTATAGAATGCTTAAACTAATAATTGAAAGCAGCCGCAGTGCAAAAGATTGGATTCTGAAAGCCACGAAAGGACACTTTCAACAAGCCCACACGACGCAAATAGCTCTAATTACAACTTAGCAACAACCATCAAGGAGCCTACTTTTCTTAACTCTAGTTTCCAAAAAGGATCAAATTTGAGTTGATCTCGCAAACCCCCATGGCTTCGTGTAAAAACGATGAGCGGATACTGTAATGAATAAATGGTGATAATACTCCGATAATGATTGGATTTTTACAGGCCCCCACAAAGGACATTCAAACATTCTTCCACATTAGTTAATGCTTGGGGAAAATCCAACAAGAACCCTACTTTTCTCCAGTCAAGTTTCCAAAAGGGCAATCCAAATGCACATTACAGAAGTGAAATGTCCTGAACATAAAGCTTCGACAAAAATATCAATGTTAAGACCGGACCAATAAAGCTTCCAAATCAAACATCCCCTTCTCTAGGACAATGAAATTTTCAGCTCAAAAGTAGCATGACAATTAAATGCAGTACAAAGAATTCCGTCATTATCTCTATCCATCCAGAAAAAAAAAAATCTCTAGAGTTTCTTCTTTCCATTATTTCAGCACAATCAAACTCCATGTCATTCATAAGCCAACAAAATCGCGCAATACTAAGTAAATATCATAGAATAAAGTAAAGAAAAGGGTCAATCACAAAAACTTCAACTAAACCAACCAAAAAATTAAGCAAACATATAGAAAAGGAAATCAGCCCAACTACTAGAACCGATCATCGGACAACATGAAATTTCAAACTAAACAAAACATCAAACATTGAATGAAAGAATGGGAGAAATGGATCGTACCTGAAGCAGCTGCCAACCAACCCACCACAGAAACAAATAAATAAATAAAACTAAAAAGCTATAATCGGGATGATGGATTCAAAGGGTCCGATCAAAAAAACAGATCTTTCTTCCTCAGCGGATGAAACCCATTATTAATCCTCGATTTATTTTACAAATGGAATGGGAAAAAAATTCAATGAACCTTATCTGAAGCTGCAGCTCTTTTTAGTTTTAATTTTTTCTTCTTTCTGGGTAATCTTTTGGTTGCATCAACAAGAAGGGCAACAACCCATATAACCGATGATGAAAATTCGAGAGAAACCAATCAGAATAAATAGGAAAATAAAATGGAAAAAAAAAAGGGGGAAAAGGAAGGGGTAGGAGAAAGGCGGACGGTGGTGTTGGAAACGATGATATGATTATGGGGCGGATTTTTATTAGGGAATTGAAAATGAATGCAAGAATGTAAGAACGAAGAAATACAATAAAATACGCTCTTTTCCTACTCACTGCTTGTACTTTGTACTAGTCTGTATCATAGTGACCTTAGCCTAAAGTATATTATATTACATTTCAAAAAAAAAAAGGTAAATTTAAATTATATGATGTAGTAATTCTTATCATTCATGGTACTGATACATGTATTATGGTCAAGTGGATCTCAAGGATAAAAAACATTTGGTATGTTTGTTTCGTTTCTTAATGTATATTAGATGCTTGACCCAGGCAAATGCTCGGGCGCCCCTCTACTTTAATTTTGTGTTAATAGATAAATAAATTCTTGATTTGCAAAAAATAAAATAGCTACACGTTTGGTTTTTTTTCCCTTTTTAGCCAAAAATAAAAATTAAAAAAAATCATATGCCAAAGGAGAAATCATACAAAAGAATGTGGGGTAATAAAGGAGATAAGTTTATAAGCAAATTTAAATGTTATTTTAATTTAAGTGATAAATGATAGGAGTTAAAATTGTGTAGCTATTTTTATAAAGTAGTTTTTATTTCTCTGGATAAGAATTTTTTATTTTTTTTAAAAAAAAGGATGACACGTGGCAGAATGGTTAATGTAATATGGTGCATTTGGAGCCAAAAATTTTTAATAAGAAGTTGCCACATCAACATCTTGTATTATGCTTTAATAGGGTAAAAGGAATTTTTAAATGTTTTTTTATTAGGAATGTAAAAAAATATATTAAAAATATAAAAAGGTATACTGAGATGGAACAGTTATTATTTTATTAATCTAAAAAAACCATAAAAAAACTAAACAAACAAAGCCTTAAATTTCTTTTTTTTTGGGGGGGAGGGGGTTAAATGAAATAATCACTAATTTCATTTCTATTGTTGCTATCCCAATGTGTTGGTATTCTTGTTCTATATAATAATAAAAAACAATAGTGATTGAATTAATGTCACTTTACACAACGTCTTCTTTGCTGTTTTGGTAACATTTGTGCAACAATGGTAATAAATTGTTTTAGCCAATTTGGTTACCAATAAAACTTATAAATGAAATAACTTTTTTGCATTATTATAGTAGCTATTTGTTCCGATGAAATAGAAATTTTGTGTAACCAACAAAAACATTAGAGTAATTATTTTTTCATGAAGCATACAATATTATCATCATAATATATGTCCGCTTTTAATTTATATTGTAGATTAGTTGAGTTTAATAATGCTGTTATTACACATTTCTATTATTACTTGGATTGTAAAGATTTTTAATTTATAACTTATACTAAAGTCTTACACACGTCTTGTTTGTTTCCTTTGTCGTTTTGACGACATATGTATAACTGCATGTAGTTATTTTATGATATGATCAATTTGATTTATCAGTCACTTTATGCTAAGCATTGTTCGCAAGATATAATATTATCATGAAAACATGTGACGTTATAATCATATTATTTATTTGAATATACTCAACAAGCACATTATTGTTGTGTTTGAATGATAAATAAAAAAAAATAGTTTGTTATGCAAAATTTGAAAAATGGGAATATTTTATAGTAAAAAATTGTAGAGTTTACTTTTGGCTAAAAGCAATATATATTAGAATTTGTATTTGTATCCGACGATACAATGATACATATTCAACATCCTAAAATGTAATCTGGTTACATCCTTTAACATTTTTCTAAACTGAAAGAAAAACTAGATGCTTGGTCCGGGCTGATGCCCAGACGATCTCTTTGATTTTATATTTATATTAAAATATATTAATATAATCATTCGCCCCGGGGCGTCTGCGTTTTAAAGTTGATGAATGACAAAAACAAACAATCAGAAAAAAAGAATAATACCTTTTGGTATAATATATAAGGTACATAAAACAATATATACATTCTAAAACAGTAGAGATTATTATTGGCGATTCACGATGGCATTTTGTCTCATAGCAGCTCCAGTTTTTCCCAATCTAGTGAAGTGAGTAAATGGGTCAGGGGCAGCTTGACTTTTTCAAATGGCAGAGCCATCAGTCTTGTTTTGCCAAAAAAAAAAAAAATAAATATTGAAATCACCATACACAAAAAAAAAATAATGATATAATATTATGTATTAAAAAATAAAACAACAATTAAAGGTCTATTTTGTACAATCATTAGAGTAAAAGTTATGTAGATGCATTCCAAAAACACTAACCACTTGTATGATTACAATCTGCAATAAAAACTGGTCGAACAGAATTCTACTTACTCAGAATTCAAGAGAAGAATAATCTCACCAAATGTGCACGCTGTATCATGTGGTCATCCACTTACTTTTCAAACATAATGTACTGAAAATCAATAGTGGAAAAGTTGTTCCGAACCTGCAAAAATATTAACAGTAACCGGCCTCGGTTTTTCACTCTTACAAGGTACAAACGAATAACCCACATACAAAAAATATTGACATTCAAAACAGTACCTATTCGCCATTCATCCATACATTATGATACCCTTGGAAGACATAATTGATAAACTTATTGAAATCCCCCAAACTGGAGACGACATACATGGACTTCAATCTAATTAGTACTGAAATAGTAGTTGAAAGATTCAATTACCAAAATTATAATACTTCAAAATGTTGCAGCTGGTGGATCTGCTACTGCGGCTTGTGGGCTCTCAAAACAAGTACGTATTTGCATTATATTTTCATACTTCAATTTCAGATCTGCAAGATTTATGAAGTTATAGATAAGATTTCTCTTGATATCTAATAGAAGTAAAATACAAAACAAATACTATCACAATTCTGGTCAGAAAACCAAACACCTGTCAGAAAATCAACACCAACCTAAACAAAGAACATGTCCTAATATTATAGTACGTCATTCGGATTCCTTTCCTTTTTGGTCATATTCAATAATAGACTTGTTGTCCAAAGATGAAGCTCTCTCAAGAACTTAAAGTTTATAGAGTATTTTGCCAATGATCACATATGTATTTAAGGCACTATTTCAAAACTAATGGAACGTTAAACCCAATTTTTAAAAAATAAAATAAAATAAATGGACTGAATTAGGGAAAAACCATAATATCTTTACCCGAAATAAATAGTTGAAATCTATTTGGCCCTGAATATCTTGCAACTTTATGCTCATAAACAGAGTTGTCTTTAAGTGCCGACCAATTCTTCAAAGATGAAATCAAGATGAAAGAGATCCTAACATTAGAATATAAGAAGTTCTTTAGTACTCTAAGATTGATTTCTAATAAGCAAGCAACCATAAAATGACAGAACTAATCATAATCTAAGGAAAAAGTTAGGCATACATCCATACAATGTTAATTTAGACAGCAAAATTTGGAATGTACCATTGATAAAGAGAGTAGTACTAACTGCTCTAACAGTGATGTGGGCAAATTAAATAGCAATATGCATATATTATCATTTGATCTTCAAAACATGAAATTACAGAGGGTGAAAGAAAAAGGAAGACAAAGACTTTATACTATAATCACAAAAATAGTAGCACAATGAGGCTTTACATGCTCTAATCAAATTACTCTGTAGCTTTTTACAGAGCTAAGTCAAATTTGAGCTTTATAGCTGTAGCTTTTTACAAAGCTAATTTTCAGGGCGCTATGCTATAACTAAATTACGGAGCTAAGTATTTACATGCTCTAATCAAATTACATGTAGCCATCAATCCTTATTACATGTAGCCATCAAAGCTCAGCAGGCAATACTAATATCATACGATCAATTCAAGGATTTGTTAATACTTAGCTCGATTTTTTCTCCAACATGGAACACTTTTTATGCACTTCAACCCTCAAGGAACAAAATCAACTATCTTGAATTACAGCTCCCATGCAAGTATCTACTACAGAGACGTATCAAAACAGAAACAAAATTGTAGAGCTAGTGCTAAAGCTCACCCTCGCAACTAAATACCAAAGCTTAATAGGAGCTTTTCAAACAAATAGTCAAATAAAGCTTACAAAGACAGTATGCAGACCTTTGCATCACTTACAATGTGGCGCCTTATAAGAAATCAATGAAGCAACAGATATCATTACTGATTTGATTATACGAGATATCTATGCATTGAGTTACAATACTGGCTTACAGAAAAACCACCTCATCCAAGTCAAATGAATAATTCAAGGGCTGCTGAAAGGTATCAAAAGACAAAAATAATTTAAGGGCTGCTGAGATCTAACTATGTCAATTTTCCCTTGCTGACCCTTCCTATATACTAGAAGTCTGATAACAACGAAAAAAATAAGAGTAATGATTTTCCTTACCAATGGAGGCGTGTTATTATGTGCATACATGATCAGACTCAATATCTAATATGAAGGGGAAAAAAATCAAAGGCCTCTCAAGTGCCTTTTTAATTTATAAATGCTTAAACATAGCCGTTTTGTATTTTTCACTTCACAATTCAAATGTATTCTAAACATCATAGAATAAATAAGGAAAAAGAAAAAGAAACCAATACATGGAAAACATCTCCCTAATCCCACCAATTATTTTGTTATTGGATCATTTCTATTCCAACTATCCTTAATTGAAACCTAAAAAATAAAAATAAAAAATTCAAGTGACAGAAAGATTTGACCAAAAATAAAAGCAGTGCTTGAGAAAAAGAAACTTATTACTTCAACTATATCATCTGGAATTGTCAAACCTAATTCTTGTAGGAAAGCCAATTCCTTGAAGAAGGTGACATTTAAAAACTTCGTATTAAAATTGATAACTACAGAAGAAGAAAAAAAAATCGAAGAACAACATTTAAAACTGAAACTAAAACTAACCAAAAACAGGACTGGAGAGATTTAACAATCTCAGCCTATGAACCATACGATCAAAGGGAAAATTAAATTCTTGTGAAATGAATCATTGAGAGAAGCACTTGCATAAAGTTTCAAGAAAAAAAAAACATATAATCAAATAATACACTATTCTTGAATCATTTCCTTGTAGACAAAGACAACAACACTATTCCAAGGTTCAGGAGGCTACAATACACAAAAAAAAGGGGAAGAAATTCAATCAAAACAATTTTTG